TATTTGCTATTACATTTTTTAGTCCTTGATGCTTTGATAATCATATTAGTTTTATCTGCTGTCTTTAATGCTAAATTATTTGTTTTAAATTTTTTATAGTACCTATAGATATAGTTTCTTTAATATTTCAAAAGACTGTATTGATAAGGCACAGCAATATTTCTAAAGTTTATAACAGCTGACTTAGTTTTGCTAATGATTTTTTGTGAGTGAAGAAACTGAAGATGGAAAGATTTGTGATTTAATATAAAAAAGAGTGAAATTAAAAAAAATGTTCATTTAAATTTAATAATTAATTAGTATTTTTGCAACTTCGAAATTGAAATTTAAAATGTCAATAATAAATTAAAATATATATAATTAAGGGAGATGAAGGTAAATCATGTATGTCAAAATTTTATTCGAAGATTTGGTCAGTTTTTCTCATATCAGCCTACACAAGATTTAAAATTAAGCATAAACCAAAATGGTGGTATCCACTACTTACCAGATTTAAAAGTCATAACTTAAACGTTTCTATTAAGGCTATAAAAGTTGATTTTTGTTTCTAAAAGCATTGGAGGATGTGTAACTATTATATATGCAACAGATGTAAAGATTAAAATGTTTCTATTTTGTGTCCTCTTCCCGTTGCAAAGCACGGGTACAACAGCTAGTTACTTTAATATTAATTAAGTTTGGAATTAAGTAAACCCTTGAAGATGTCATTATCAAGGGTGTCTTATTTATATTGTTTGTCATTCTTATGTAAGTTTGTTAAGCACTTGCATGTGATTTGTGATTTGCACTGTTCTAGATATTAGCATGACGAAGCCTATTGTATTTTGTAAATATTTAACGGTAAATAAATCTTTGAATCTTTGAATCATAACCCTCCTAAACATGTCGCGCAATTTTACTAAATAAAAAAGAAAGGAAAAATGGTATTTATTTAGACATGTATATTTAGCTTAGGTTGTTATAATTTATTTGAGATCGTTTAAATGATAAACAAGTAAAACCACTGTTCCTCACTACAGCAGTGTTTCTTGAATATTGCAAACTTGTATTTCAACTGTGTAAAGCTGTAGAGTCGTACTAGTACTTGGATATCCTCTGAAGAATTATTACCTTATTACCTTGTAGGCATATACCTTACTTAAATATCCGGTCACATAGTCTAGATGTCTAGATATTAAAACCACCCTAAAACCGACCGTGCCTGTTTACTCGCAACTCGAGTACGAAACGCATTTGTCCTATTATATAATTACCTACAATTACATACATCACAAAAACTATTTATTTTTTACATTTTAATTTAATTTTAAATATTCAGTAAAAAAAAATATTTTTTGTAATTTAAATTAGCTGTCAGTACTGTTGTGTTTTGTGGTCTGATAAATTAGTATGTTTATTAAAGCATAAAATGTGTACCTGTTTAAAATTATTATTGTGCTCAACCTAATTTGTTTATTAAGAAATCGCGTGCCCCGGAGAATCAACTAATCCACAACACAAAGTGGGGAAATGTAATCAAGGACAAGAAGTGTTCACCAAAGTCATCAAAATCTTAATTGCATGCGACGACTATAACCCAAGTAAATACCAATTAAACCCCTCTCCCTGATCAGTCTAACAGCAGTATGTAAATGTGAATGTAGATGTAGATGGAAGACACATCCCCTGCTACGTTGCCACCTAATAAGCGACACAAATGCCGGCTTACTGCCAATGTAGCTCATCTGCGGCTCCCCCTCCCCCCTACAGCTTTGTTCCTGTTGACATATTTTTCCGCACCGCTGCGCACCGTATTTACATTTTTATTGAAACCGGGACACAAGCTTTATTCAATTATCCGGCTAATCCTCCAATTATAGCGAGGTTGTCATGACGACCAGAGGTGACAGAGCTTCTTTCAACCTCCCCCCTCGTCACCCCCACGCCGCCATCTTGCCCCCAAATATGCAAACTATCGCCACTCGCCTCCTCCGCCAACAGGCTGTTTTGCGACCTCAAGATGTTAATTAGTGCTCGCGTCGTGCCCGTGCCACGTTGTTTCCCTGTTCACTTACATAGTGTCACTCGATTGGTTATATTGATTGCGATTTATGTGTATAAACAATAGACACGTCACATGATATTGTTTGCTGTATGACTGGGTAAAAATATAACAGACCACATTAATTACCTTCTGCAAAAGGTCATTTAAAATTGTATGTATATTCAAACGCACGTAAACAAAATTAGTGTCAACAATTAAATTTGACTCAACATATTAAACTTCTCGACAAATGAATAATCAATCAATACTAAAATTGACATTTAGGTGTTTGTAAAATTGTGAACGCTCACGTTTTGTTCTTGGCTTCAATTTATTAATTTACTAAATAAATAACGCACTAGAGACAGTATAATCTTCTGTTTTCATAAGAAATATGAAAACCAGCCTCAATTGGCATCTTACAGCAAAAAGTTTCTTCTATAAAATCGATTTAATTCTAATAGCAATATGAGATCCAGTGTTTTACTGGATCAGTAAGTAAATTATTAACATGGTTAACACCGCATATACTAGTTGTAGCTATTGAACTACATGGTGACAACGTTTTGAGACAATTTAATGGTTTAGAGATACCGGGCTGTAGTAGAGTAGCTGTAGAGAGTGAAGTTTTCACCCCTCGCACACTAATGTATGCGACTCTTGACGACCCCGCCCCCTCTATCAGAGCCGCCATTAGCCAGCTAATCAAGCCATATGATCTCCGTGGTCCTCGCCGCGCGCCCTTCTGCTGCATAACAATAGCACAGCTTCATCGGTTGGTCGTTTTCAAAATTGGCTTTTTAATCGCCCGCTTTATCGTTTCGTGACTAAATGCGAACCGCGGAAAAAAATTTGTGAGCTGCCGCGGTTGTGGTGTATCTTTAGACAAGGCAATGTTTCAGAATGGGTTTTATAGATAATCATTTTAGGAAGAGCTTATCTAAATTCGCAGAAGTTGGTTTTTATATAAAACACGATAGCATGTGATGGAGAAGGTCACAGTCAGATGTGTCTATTTTGGGTAATACGAAATATTATATACTAGCAGAGTACCCGTCCTTCGTACGGGGTTGGCATATAAGTATAAAATGCTTATTGCAGTAATGGGTGAGGACATGGTTTAAGAAAGTTTGGTTCTTTTGCTCTACCACTGCCCCTGAACCATAGAAAAAAGTAGAGGTCTCATTGTGTAATGCATGTGTTAAATGCAAAAAATAATAGGACTGCACCCTATAGGTGCCAACCTGTTAATGCTATTTAATATCATAGAACTAACTTGTGCAGTCGAAACAGCTGACAAAATTCTTTAATTCCTTTTGGATACATTTTTATCAAATTTGGCAAATTGATTTATTCTATACTAATTTTCCTAAAATCACACTTCGTAACCCTCCCTGTAGCAGCATAACCTAGATACTCGTTAAACCTAATGTTATTGAATTAGATTTAATTGAAAATAGGCTGCAGGTGTGCTGCGGCGGGGGTATTATGGAATTGTAATTGATGTAGAAAGAAGACTTTGTGGTAGTACATGATTAACTCTAAGTTATATAAGATACTAAAAAAATCAATTCCGGCGGTCCCAATTAGTAGCGTCGGTCGCTTAAAAATTTGACTGGCGCTACTGCAACCAGTGCAACCAGCGTTACTATTCGTATTCGCTAGCAGCTATACCCGTGCCTTGCTACGGGGTCAGTATGCAAAAGAGTTAATACTGGTTCTTTGAAAATGCCAAATGGTTTCACTCCCTAACATTTATTGTAGAAACGAAATTGAACTGTATTAGCCTACTTAACTTGATAATAGTAATAGGTCTAGTACTTTTTTGTTAACTCATACTGTGAATACTTATTTAGGCTACCTAGGAAACAAAACCAATGATATATTTTAAGGTATAATAAAAGAACCTGTTTAATGGTTTGGACTGTAAACGAAAAGCTATCACAAAAAGGCGGCCGTGATCACAATAGTTCCAAACCTGTCAATAGTGTAGTTTTCTAACATATTTTAGGGAAATGACAATCAGGCAAATGGAAATTCGCTTAGTCTATAGGTTTGCTGCAGCAGGGATATTAAATTACTGTTTACACAAAAATAAATCTAAAACATAATTCTCATAAAACTCAGGATAAGGGCCTAGTTTGATACGGCAATGATTGTAGAATCTTAACTATATCCTATATCTATGAATAATTTCTTTTTACAATGAAATATTCACTATAAAATATTATTACAGCATATTACAAATATTAGAACAGACTCAGTATAATTGAGTATAAACATAAAAAAATTATGTAACTGGAAGAATCCTATTATAATGAAATGACATTAACATATTGAGTATAAACATAAAAAATTATGTAACTGGAAGAATCCTATTATAATGAAATGACATTAACATATGGTTTGACAGCTCCATTTTAGTACCTAATGTAAAATAATGTTTACATTCAGGCTAGTGACGTCATTATTTTAAATATGATCCCTACCCTCTCTGTTCTAATATTCATGCAGTATTTAAATAAATGTTTGAACCAGCTGTGTGGAATTGTGAAACCAAAATTCATTTGACAGTTAGTTCTGCTTGTTTACATTTTCAAACTTTGTAGGTTTGTTCTTTGTTACCATGGATACCATCAATCAATATTTACTTTTAAATCTCTCACCTCAAATTTTTGAAAGCCCACGGGGCGGAGCCCTAGGACAATATCGAAGCGGGAATAGTTCTATATGTATCCTCAGAGCTGTAGCTTCATTTGTGTGCAATTTGAGACCAGTCGGTTCAGTAGTTTTTGAGATTATCTCATACAAACACACACACACACAGACACCACCTCTTCTTTATAATAGTATAGATAGATAGATTATATTATTATAAAATGTGTTCTTATTCAATTTTACAGAAGAAACACAGATTAAATGTTTCGTTTAACCCCGTGTGTCGTGCATATAGTATAAGTTGGTTCTCGATAGTTACCTTGACTTGAGACTCCGTCATGCCCAGCGCGTACGCCAGCTTCGCTCGCTCCGGTCCTGCCAGGTACTTGGTCTGCTCGAACGTCTTCTCCAAGGCGAAGATCTGTTGCCCGCTGAACGTCGGTCTCGTGTGCTTCTTCTTGCCGTCCTTGTCCGCCGCCGCCGACACTGCAACAGCGACAATCAGTTTACTACCTCGCATGACGACATACAGTATGTATTATGCAACTTTGCAGTAGTGTTACTATACTGCCGCATGCTGCTATATTACGGTCTTCTGCACAACACCTGGCGTTTATAAATATACGCTTAGCACGTGAATAAAAAAACCCCATACTAAATTTGTAGATCTAAAATGGGTTAGAATACGTGAACCAGGTTAGTACACTACAAAATGTAGCTTTTGAGTTTAACTTAATATTATGTTGAAATTGCCTTATGTAAGAATTTGAGTTATCTTAAAATAAAGTTTGTACAGCAACATCCGATATTATTATACCACAGGATGGAGATTACACGTAGGTGTGCGTCTCTGATACGAAATAATGGTGTTACAATTTACAGTGACGAAGATTCCGTATAAGAATTTCTTTTTCATTTGTACTACATTTTTATAATGAGCTAGATATTTTTAATGTTTTAAAATCGAACTGTCTGCTGTGAGTGAGTTTTTAAATGTTGTTTAGGTTAGTACAGAGGTATTGCCACTTTATTTTACATACAATTTCTCCAAAACTCGTTAGAGATAAACATAATGAAATTTCGTTCCAACTTTGAATGGAGCATGTCCGCATTTTTCCAACTTTTAACTGTGCTGTTTTATTACACAGAGCTACGCTTTATGCGTCAAGTCTTAAGTTCGATATTTACATCTATAATATTATCAACTCTGAATTTAAATGAAAACAACTTTCACTGAATGTAAACAAAGCCACGTGCCCGACCTAACCTAACTTGGTCGCCATATTGTGACTGGTGACGCAGGCGCTCTCCGCGCCAATCCCGCCGCCGCGCCACCGCCTCTCCCGCCTTCCCGCCAACACGACCAGAGCTGCCAACCTCATCTACCAAACTAACTGGTGTAGTTGGCAATATTCATAAAAGGACAATAAGCATTTGTAGAAGCTTACACCTGGTTAGTTACTTGGCAAATCTTCAAATGATCTAACTTTCGTGGTCTTTGATTTAGCAAGTCTGCTAAGTGATAGTTTTATTAATTTGTTATGCCGACAACATCCTTGCTGTATCTCTAGATCTATTCAAATCATATTCAAGCGGGTCAACAGGCCAACAGATCGATATTAAAAACGATTGAGTAATAGAGAATAAATATGTTGCACATTGCACGTTTATGTTTACTTGTATAGCAAATGTTCTTTTGTGCCTACAGTAAGTACTATAGAGGTAATAATAAACCCTTAAGTAACCGTCGAAGATAAATCGCAATGCAAAACATTAGAAGCGCACATCAACTTGAATAGTTTTGTGGCTGTGATCGTCTTATTGCCAATAAAAACTCCATAGCTACTAAAATCATATATTGTAATTCCTGTACAATTATAAAACGCATACACGAATATATATATATATATAAACTAGATATATCTAGATAAATCCGTTCATGGTAGATGCATTAGTTTGCGAACATTTAATACGGAGCTGTAAATGTAAGAATTATAAATCTTGGGAAACAAGTCCCTCATACAATTTGCAATGTTAATATTTTGGGAGTTAACTCTCATCAAAATATTCATCAAGTGCTGTTAAACGCTGTCTTTATTTTAAACCCCAGAATAAGAAGTGGAGCACAGAATAAAGAGTGTCTCGCTCTTTATTTGGCGATTACATCTCTTAGGTCTACATTTATTACACAACTAACTCCTATAGTTATAGTTTGTTGTATTATACGAAGCTATGGTGATGAAGCAGGCTACTTAGTTTATTTAGTTACTCACATAAATGTGTCGGATAAGGTATTATAAATGTTTAAATTTATTTTAAATTAGGAGGGAGGTAAAAAATAATAGCCTGTAAGTTAAATTAAATAATAACAATTGTGTATTCCCCATCACATGCAGTGTTTTTGTTACACTTTAGTGTCGATTCTTTTGGAATATTAACCGTGTAGAAACGTAATTAATTTTTTTACATATGTATGCAAGTAATGATTGTATGTCAAAGTTAGATATTCAAACCAAAATTTTATGCAAATTTTGGTGTGAATATCTAATGTTGAACTTTTAGTTTAGAGGTAATTATTAGTAGTAGCCCGTTGTAAAATGACTACTGGACATAAAGTCATTACTTGCATACATGTGTAAAAAATTGTATTACGTTTCAATGATGTTAATATTCCCAAAGAATCTAAAAAAGATTCCATAGTCTGTAAAATTGCAACACCATCTCTCAGCTTCAGAGAAATGTATTTATTTTACACAATATTTTGCTTTCTGATTCTTACAATTCATTCATGTCAAATGTTAAACCGTTAACCATTAATATCAGATTTAAAACATACCTGTCGTGTTTTTCATGTGTAGAGAAATAAAATAATTATGTTTAATGTGCATAATACATTGCGCTTATATTAAATGCCAATTATTTCCTTTCCTACTGAGGCAAAACATAGTTAATCCTTTATTTAACATTTAGTTTAATTTTAATAGTAGTCATAGCTAGATCAAATATCACCAAAAGCTGAAAGAATTAAAATATGTTTTATCGGTTAAAAGAGGGCACGGTTGTTAATGTGATGTCATTAGAGTTTAAATCGATAAGTCTGACATTCAAACGCGCGGCGCCCTGTAAAATTACAATTTTATCTGGATGCATTAACAGCAACGAGAATTAAATTAATGAACGCCGATTACTGCATATCGCAGTTTGCAAATAGTCGTTAAACAAATTATCCGCCAATGATATGACAGATGGAGAGTGGACCAGACATAAGGGGAATGAGCCGGTATATGAGAGAGAAAGAGAGAGATGTGGGTGTGGGGGGGGGGTAAACAGGTTTAATGTACCAGCCATTCATAATTACCATGGAATATATTGGAAAGATAATGTATGCTAATTGTCTTCATTCCATAGTGGTCAAACTCTGAGGTGGGCGTAAATATGCAAGTCATAAATAAACATTCGTTAGTGAGCGCTTATAAAAAAAACTAGTTAATATATTACATTTATCAGACTTTTTTATAATTATTTTAAAGAAGTTTTATTCAATGTTTTCTACCTGGCCAGAGGTGGCCATAAAATTTATATTGTAAGAACAAAATTGTGTTTGATGGTCGTTTTGTTGGCTCTATTTATTTTGTCTAAAGCTGATGAATGATGCATATTGACATGTGGTATTGGAGTATTGTATACCTTGCTGTTTTCCTTGCATGTACTCGATACTAAGCGAAAACACTAAACTATAATCGATAGTACGGGTCTAGCATTTGAACATCTCTAAGTTTTAAGTTTTTTCATGATAATGTCAATAGCTTGCCCATAAGTAACTCAATAAGGTATCATTTGGTTTCTTCGTTTTAATCTGGCATCAAACGGTTATTAATGGGGATAAAACCTAATTCATGTCGTAGTCTTTTATTATAAAGCCCAAACGGTGGTAACTTAAGCACCAGAAGCAATGCTTATATTCGAAACATTATTTAATATAGCTGGTTGAATAAGATGTCAGTTATTAAAAAATGTAATTGATTTTTTAAACTATGAAACTCGTTTTATAAGTACGTTAAAAAACAATTGGAACATTAGAAACACCTAGCTTGGACGGTTTTATTTGAAGACAAACGTTTTGTAAGCTACAAACTTTACAATTAGGAACTCAAAGATAGGTTTTAAGAATTGATTAAATCTCATACTGTATACTGTATAAATCTGAAATAAAATCATCATCATTAATTTCAAATAAATTACTGTTTATCAATAGGATTTGAATTCTCAACAATTTCAATACCAATTATTTGGTCAAATACAATCAGAATATTTTGATCACGCTTCGGTCTGATCACAGTTGTCCAAAATAAAACCCGGTAGAAGCAACACAGTATAAACAGCAGAAGGCGACGTGTTGTATTATAATCCGCGTGGATGGAGGAAGATTTGGTTGATCCATAAAATCCATAACAATATCCAGCGAGGGGAGGGGTGGGGGTGGGGCTACAAGGGTTGGTGGGGGGAGGGGAGTGCTGACTCGACAGTCTCCCTAGGGACTTGTATAGCTTCATCGGATTCAATATGGCACCTTATTGGTTAGACATCTCGCCTCATCGTGTACGTGTACGTGTACATGAGCGTGTCGTGCACGTGTCGCGTGTTGTACGTACACGTGTCTGTGTGTAAAGTACAACCGCCACCGCCGCCAAGGATACAATACACTGTATGAAGAGGGAACTTTGCATATTCATTCGTGAATGTAACTTATATCAGTTCCCACATAATTATGAAATGCTAATGTGAAGTATACTTTACATTTCTTTGAATAAACTCAACAATTAATTTTGGTAATGCTAAAAATGGTATGGATACTATTCAAAATGATATCCAAGCCGGAAAATCAAAGTAATGAAAATATAAACTGAAACAGTATTTTTAAAACTAAACCAACCTAATACCACAACACACTAGCCTTTTCTTCTATACTTTTATTTGACGACTTTATGACATGTTACTAACATAGTATAGCCTATGTGAAATAAAGGATGCTAAAGTTTACAGTAAGTTGACCTAGTAGTTACGTTTGTGTATAGCCTACGCTAAAATATCTGTGATTGGACTTTAATATTCCAGATATTTGAGGTACATTGTTTGATATTTTTGATTTTATAAAGACAACAATGAATCATCATGAAGGCATGAACATATACATTATTTATTCGTATTTATTATTATTATTTTATTTTATTTACATTACATTATTTGGTAAATCGTATTCTCTGAGTACAGTAAAACTCGTATAAAGTTAATATATTCACATAGTTTATACAAACTGTTATAGTCATCCATTGTAGATCAAACGTAGGCTAGTTTCACCATGTGCCATGTGCACCTTTAACTACAGCATGATGTAACAGAAGTCGTGTATATCCGTATACAACCTCGGAGGCCTTCGCCCATCATGTTGTAGATTTACGATATTACAGAAGAAACGATGTCGTAAT